GATTTTATTGTCTTTTTTATTTTTTAAGATTTTTTTAAATTTTTAAAGTGATTTCCAGACTCAATGTGGGGCTCAAACTCACAACCCCAGGTTTAAGAGTCACATGCTCCACTGACTGAGTCAGCCAGGCACCTCTATTTGTCTTCTTTTAAAGAGGGTTGAAGTTTATTTTGGCAGAAAGTTGAATTTCTTGCATATCAGGCCTTTTCTTTTTAAAGAAATAGTTTTGCTTAAAACTTTTATTGAAGATTAAAAACATAAAGTACACATAACATTGGTGTTCAGCTTGATGAATTCTTGCCCAATACCAGTAACTGGTATTAAACAACAACAACAACACCCCAGCATGTTGCCAGCATCCCCAAAGCCCTCACTTAAGCTCCTCAAAGCTTGCTGTTAAGCTTTGTGAGGGCAAGGCTAAAATTATCTTTACTCTAGAGCTAACTCAGAGTACTACCAAGGCATGCCCTCCTGTGGTCTCCAACAATTGCTCCAAGTGATCAACAAGATCTCCTTACTCTGGTTGGTCAGAATTTGAATGTCTCCCACTCTGTGTGAGCTCCACCCTACACATGGGCAGGCCTAGTCTTCAGCACATTAGTCAAGAGGCCCTGATTCCGATTTCTGGAGCTCTTTTGATGAGTGGCTTCCAGTCTGGTACTTTGACCCACAAATGTAAACCCCCTCTCCCTCAGATCTCTGACCCATCAACTCAGCAAGACTGTTGCGCTTTGCTGGGGACTCACCCCCCCCCCCCCTTGTGGCACCAGAAATGTGGTCCAGAAATGTCTCAACGCAAAAAGCCAGGGGAGATGGTAGGCCTCCCTTCACTTGTTTCCGTTCAATGTCCTGAACTGCCTGTTGTCTAACATGTGAAAACTGTTGTTTTTATATTTGTCCAGAGTTCTAGTTGTTAATGGTGGGAGGATAAAGCCAGTTCCAATTATTCCATCATGGCTAGAAGCAGAACAAAGGCCTCTTTTAATAAAATTTCCAGCATGGGTGCCATGTTTTGCAAGATTTCATCTACCAAAATAACCCAATCCATATGCCCCTCCCACCCTTCCATCTACCTATTCAGTGGCTGCTACATCTCTGTGAAGCAAAGATGAATAAAACTTCATTACTGCCCTCAGAGAACTGACAATTTTAAAAGGTAAAGCCAGAAATGTGTAATAAATTATATTGCTGGGTGACAAGTATAATTAACACAATCAATACAAGGAGCTCTGAAGACATAGAGAAAGATACAAATTACTTGGAGAGGTCAGGGAAGGTTTTTACTATTTATTTATTTACTTTTTTTTTTTTTTTTTTAAGTAGGCTCCACACCAAACCTGAGGCTGGAACTCACGACCCTGAGATTAAGAGTCACATGCTCTACTGACTCAGCCAGCCAGGTGCCCTGGGCAAGGTTTTTATAGCCTCACATTTAGAGTTAGTCTTGAAGAATGAGTAAGAGACTGACAGGTGAGATAGGACATTGGGTGGCGGGGTCGGGGGTGGGGAGGGGAGAAACTGTGTATGCAAAGTTTGAAGTTATAAAATAACTTGTGAAGTTTGGAGAGCTAGTTAACAGTTCCAAATACCTATAATATAGGGTTTGGAGCTGGGAGGGGAGTGAGTTAAAGCTATGGAAAAACACAGGAGGGTCAGAACCTGAAGGAGGACCCTGAATGCCATGATCATCATCATTTGCACCCATAAATCATTACCACTAACTACCATCTATCATACACATAGGACATATGTTTTACATATATTATATACATTACATTCAATTCCCACAACAACCTATAAGGAAACGAAGGCTCAGAGAGCTTAAGGAGTTTTGACATTGATCACACAGCTAGTAAGTGAAGAAGCCAGGATTTAAACACACGTCTGTCAGATTTCAAAGCCAACAAAAGGAATTTGCCTCTAAGCTATAGGCACTGGGAAGTTCAGGGAGGATATTTTATCTTTCAAAGTTTTGTTTCGTTTAGTTTTTTAATTATATTCACTGATGGAGTGGTTTTAAGAGGGAAATACAGTTAGATTTATTTTTGGAAAGGTCGCTCTGGTGCAAGAGGAGGAAGAGCTGGATTCTGAAGACCAAGTTCGGAGGCTGCTGATAATAGCGCAGGAGAGAAATAAGAGCTTGGATTAGGTGGTGTAGGGAGAGATGGGGATTTGACAAATAGTTTAAGCAGCAGAATCTGTCAGACGCTGTCAACAGGCCGCTCTGACAAAAGGGGAAATTGTGAGGTCAACTGTGGATATGCTGATACCCTAAAAGTACCTGGACCTGTGCTGAATGCAGGGGACAGAGAAGCACAGAATGTGATTTCTTCTCTCAAGGACTTGATAGTTCACATAGCCTTATAGAATCATACCTGTGCGTTCCACTGAAACACAAATACCTTACAGACCACATTCCCTCTCCACTACTATAGCTTTGGGGTCTTTAATGGGTCTGGAGCCCCATGCTGGAACATCACTGTAGAACATTCTCAACCCTGCCACAAACCAACTTGCAAATGAAGAGGACCTTTTCATGTAGGCTGAAGACTGTTAAGGAACCAACTGTCCTCTAACTCTGAGGGTAACTACTAACAATTTTATGAAAAACAAATGCAGACACCTTTTATTGAACACTGACAATGTGTGAGCAGTGTCCCAAGCATTTGAAGAACATAACCATCTCATTTATTTGCTACAGCAATCCTAACTACAGGGCTCATACTCCTCCTTCCAAGATGGGAGACTGAGCTCAGAGACAAAAAAATAACTTGCTCCCATTCCTTTGGTTCCCTGAGACCACTTCACTGATCATTTAAAAAGCATCTGAGGGGGGACACCTGGGTGGCTTGGTCGGTTAAGCATCTGACTTGATTTTGGCTCAGGTCAGGATCTCAGGGTAGAGACTGAGTCCCACATCAGGCTCCGCGCTGTGTATGCAGCCTGCTTAAAATTTTCTCTCTCCCTCTTCTCTGCTCCTCCCCCACCCACTTGTGTACGATCTCGCACACACGTGCTCAGATGTGTGCTCTCTAAACAAACAAACAAACAATCTTGGAATGTGCCACCTTCAGGAAGCCTCTATTACCTGTCTCCCAAATTTTGTCATCCCCCGGGCCCTTCTGTGCCTGATTCCTATTTCCCCTGTGGCCCCTCTTATGCTATATCGTGATATAGATGTAATTTACATATCTTTTTCCCCCGTACTTTCCTCTTTGAAAGAAAGGACTAGATCTGCTTTATCTTTGCTGCTTAATGCCCAGCACTGGGTCAGAGCACTGCAGATGGGACCAGTCCATCCTACTACATGGTTTCTTAACCACCAGTCACTCACTCTGGGCTGTCCCAGGGCTCCTGGCCATTCCTAGGCTCACTTACCATATTCACTCAGGAGCTGCAAGGTCCATACCTCTGGCACCCATGGCTTAAAGGAAAAGCTCTTCCACTGAAAGGGAACCAGGGTGGAAACCACATATTCTTTGGACCAACAGAACTCAAACTATGGTCAGGAAGACCTAAGATCCCAAGCCCATACCATCCAGACATGAAGAGCAAACCTAACAGTGTCTGTTGCTTTCATTTTTCCTGCTTCTGCCATCTCTCTGCTGTAGAAGGGGGGCTGTATATAAGGAGAGGAGGCAGCGTGGGGTTTGGGGGTGTTGAATCTCAGCTCTGCCCCAGCCAGCCATATGACCTATGACAAGGCATGTGCTCTCTGAGGCTCTTTCCCTCTGTGAAAAGGAGAACACCTCCTCCATTGGGCTATGATGCTAACTGAATGTGATCCCGGAATGCAGCAGGCCCTAGAGAGGCAATGGGGGCCCCGTGGCTCTCAGGAGTGAGGGAGTTGGGTTCACCTCCTGGCTCCTCCTCTTTCTAGCTCGGTGAGTAAAGTGGGAATAAGGAAAATACCTTCCTCAGAGCAGTGTGAAGAGGAAATGAGAGGCCAATAATGAGCTCTTAGCACAGTGCTCAGCTCAGAGGAAGTCAGTTAATGGCAGCCATTGTTTAATTAGGCTACAAATGGAATATTTTTATATTGCACAAATGACTCCCCCAAATCTTATACTGAGTTAAGAGTGGAGGAGTTTGAAACCATGGTGCAAGCCATTCATCAACAGCAATCTCTTCCAGATAGCTAACCCCATGGGACCGTCGGGACTCCTTGCAATAATGGAGCTCCCCCTCCCATGACATAAACCTAGCGACACAAACACAATTCCATGTCAGCACACGTGGCCAGGAACATCTACTCCTTTCAGTCTGGAAGCCAGAATAACTTTATAGATCTTCTAGCAGACAGAGCCGGGCAGGTCAAACCAGAAACATCAAAACCGTATTTCCCAGGGAGTCCCAAACCTCCTCATTCATATGGACAAGGGGGAGACTGGGTCTACTTCAAACAGCTGCCCATGAGGCTGCTCAAGTAGCAACATTGAGACTAGCGTGTGGCCATGTGTTAGTGTGGCAAATGCGGCAGCCAGCTGCTTTTGCTAAAGTGAGCTCGCTATCTGGCTAGACCTAAGGTAACAAAGATTTATGGGACATGGAACCATAGAGCACTGTCAGCAGATACCCTACTACATGGAAAAATGGCTGCTTGATGATGGTCCAGGAGAGAAATGTAGACTTGAAGTGCCCCATGTCACTCACATGGAAAGCCCTCTGGTCCCCCTTCAGTGGGGTTGCCCAGGGGAAGCTGTCTGATTCTCTGGACATGGCATGTGCTGGAGAGGGACAGCAAGACCCCCAGACTCCCCGGCTCCCACAGAAAGAGGAACTGAGGAGCCCTGGGGATTGCTTCACAGCCCTCCAGATGCAAGTTATCAGAGCGATGCAAGACTAAAGAAATGAACCACCCTCCAACTTTCTCCACTGAGACAAAGGAGGCAAAGACAGAAACAACCACAGCAGTCTCCTCTCCTTCCCCTTCTCTAAAATCACATCCACGCCCCCTCCCCCAACTCACAGGAGTCAGACCTCAAGAGTTCATTACCCACCACATCATTTGGGAGGCTCTGGAGGTCATCAAAGGGAGTTTCCAGGGTGTTGGTGTCCACGTTGAGGATCACGACATCATCTAGGGCCATGTTTCTGACTTTCTGCAAATAAAAAATTTCCAAGAGAAAAAAATCATTGAAGCACCATGAGGCCACAGATACTTCCACTGGCCCTCTCTGGGGAAGGGGCATAAGGAAGAACAGTGACAAAGGCTTTGACAAAGGCTCATTCTGTGGCAGGCCCAACGCTAGGTGGTTCACATTTTCTGAGGCCTTTTAACTGTCACAAAAACTCTATAAGCTTTATAGTCATCCCCAAGTCCCAGGAGTGGAAAGGGTTTCACAGAGATGAAGCTGACTAAGTTAACATGCTCAGGTCACACAGCTAGGAAGAGAGATCTTTACACTCCAACATTATTTTTTTCTTATATTTTCTTTTCTTTTTTTTTTTTTTAAAACAGTAGAAACTGCAGTCTAAAGCTCTGGCCCCCAGGAACTCTTGATGTACAGCTAGGCCCTTATGACACCCACATTCAACCCATCCCCTTTCATTTACCAAAAGCTACTTGCCCATCTCTCTTTTGGACCTTGTCATGCTTGGGTATGGAATATGGTGTATGGCCTAGTGTTAACATGTTAACATTTCCCTTAAACATTAAGTAGGAAGGTCACACTTTCAGTTGGGTCCCATTTTCCATAGAAACCCAGTTAGTGAGTCAAGGCTCAGAGGCTCTGGCCATCTGTCATTATTCTACTGGCTAGTGATGGAGAGGGTAAGGGAGACGTGCTTACTGGGTCCACGTGTCTGTGCCCCGGGAAGGAAGGGATAGGTAAATACAGAGAAAGGAAAAGTCTACCATCTGGGAGCAACTCTCCATAGACTGTAGAAGTATGAGATTATGTGTAGCCTTGAGTTTTTAATTTCTAATCATGCTATTCACCCACTACCGGAATCCACCTCCATTTTTCTCCTGCTCACCCACCACTCCCAATCTCATTCAACCCTCTTCTCTCAAATATCAAAGCTCATTCCCTTAGAGTCGAGAACTTCAGAACTGCTATCTTTATCCCACTTGGCCTCGGTTAATTAGAAAGACCTTCCAGTTCCCAAACTGGAATATTTGTGGGTGTGAAGGACAACATAATATGCCAGGGCAAAAGACATACAGTGGAACATAAGGTCACCTTACATATATAAGGGATCAATCTATTAGCTGCCCTCTAAGGCACTGCATATGACTGTGCAGATGTGCAATGCCCAAGGACGCCCAGCCAGACAGCTGGGGCTGAAATTTGCTAAGCCGCATGCCTAGGTCAGGGGTGGTGGCGGTGGGAGGAAGGAGATGCCTTTTCCTAATTCATCCAAGAGAACTGCAGAGCCTAGTGTTGGGGCTGGACCATCTATGGCTGCTAAAGCCAGAGTCTGCTAACAACCTAGAAATGGACAATTATAATATAGAATATATAATAATATAATATAAACTAGAAGCCTACTGGTGTTTTATACTTTATCTCATTTAACTCTTACCAAACTCTTCAAAGTGCATGTTATTACCCTCATTTTATGTACCTGGAGAAGGAGGCGGCTCAGAGAAGTGAGGTACGGGGGAGAGGTAATAGCACTGGCCGCCTCCAGAGCTATGTTCCCATGGCACCACACCGTCAGCCCCCTTGTCATCGGGCACCTCAGTGAGACCTCCACAGAGCCCTTGTCACTGAGCCCCAGCACCCCTCTGCCTGCCTGCCTTCCTCTACTGGGGTGTGGGCTCATCTGTTTGGCTCACCACTACAGGATGACCAGCACCCAAAATGACTGGCACCTGGTAAGCACTCAGTAATACTGGTTGATGCTTATTCTCTCAAACAGCAGTCTCTAGGACAGAACATGGTACTTAAGTAAACATTTTAAGATTCCTCCCAGCAGGAGGGTGGAGCTGAGCTGGTTAGAAGCCTCCTACGGTTGAAAATGGTCTCAGGTGGCAGCATCCTGGGTCCCTCCCACTGAACACACCTAGGAGCCTCAAACTCCTTTTGCTACCGAGTCTTCCAAGGCACCAGGGGCTAGCCCACAAACCTCTCAATCCACTCACCATTTCCTAAGTGTTCACTATGGGCTGAGAACCGCACAGAAGGGACAAAATTGCCTCCTTACAAGTTTATTCTGCCCTCCAAACCCCAACACTCACATTAATCGACTGCTCTGTTTACAGGGTAAAAAGCTATCAGCCAAGAGCCTTGAGAATAACACAAATCACTAGTGTTTCACAAAGCACAATCCCCACTTTTCAGATGAGAACATTAAGACTCATGGTCAACTGTCCAGGGCTCCTTTGCTGCCTCGTTTTTCAGTCCAGTAGATTAAACACCTAGCAGTGTGCTGGCAGGAAGTTACAGCCTCTACAACCACCCTTTTCACTCCTCTCACCCGTCAGAGCTCACACAGATCCTTTTGGATTTGACAACTTAGCTGGAGACAAAGTATCACCATTCCTGCCCCAGGAATGAGAAACAGGTTCAGAGAGGTGAAGCCGCTTACCCCAGGTTATGCCGCTACTACTTGGCTACTTTTTCTGTAAAACTGGTAAGATAACTGTGACCACTGTCCTTACCCCCCATGCACACAGTGCTAGGCACACAGGACTGATAAACAGTAGCTATGATTATTACTCTTACAATCCACACATCAGCCCCCGCAAGTCTGAAAGCTGTAGTGCTAACTGCCTAAAGACGAAAACCTGCTGGCCCCTTCTCGGCAGCCAAGGGGCTGTCACCTCAAAAGCCGAGACACCAGAAACGGAACTGGAGAAGGGGCCGCAAGGAACTCTGTAACTCAGCAAAGGACTCCAGGCCTGGACGGTCACTGCACCCCAGAGTTGCCTATTCTGCCTCATCTGACCTTCTAAATGGCCCCAGACAGAAGGGGGCAGGAGGCTTGGCCACTGCAGAGAAGCCTCAGAGGCTGAAAGGCCCAGCAAGAGGGATGTTGATTCTGGACCAGAATCAGGCGTTGTTTCTGTATTCCCAGTGAGGCCCCAGCAGCACAGACCAGCCCTTGTGGGCTCTCCATGGCCTGGGCTGGAACAGGCTTTTGATTTCTTCCCACTCCTGGCTGGAGGGCTTGCCGGTTAAGCTGTGTGGAGTGTTTACTTTTTCAACAATGGCAGCAGGCTGAAGAAGAGGAAAAAACCTGGCCCTTTTTTCTGACTTAGCAGGCCAGGGTCCCCTTAGTAACCAAAATGCCCAAGCACCAGGCTCCAGGCAGGAGCTGGGTCGGCAGAGCTTCCTCTTATGGGACAATGCTGCCCTCCCGGCAGCAAGGCCTCTTCCAAAGGGGCTGGCGTAGACTCAAGGGCCTTCCTGAAGCTCAGTGTTCCCAAGGAGAGAATCGGAGGCCAGCTCGGCCGGATGGTGCCTTATCCCTGAAAGGCTCTAGGAAACAAGAGCAATGAAGAAAGGCTAACCGCTCTCCCCAACCTGCCCCCCACCAAACAAAAACCCAACCCCACAAAAACCTTCAAAACTGGCGGGGGGGGATGGTGGCAGTGAGAAGTGCTGGTGGAGGAGGAAGCTGGCCCATGACTGGCTGCCAGCTCATTTAATCCCAACCGCGGAGAGAGGAAGATAGGACCATCTCCATGGGGGGTGAGAACATGAGGCTTGGAGAGGTCAAAGAAAATGCCCCAAATCACACCACTAGTGAGCAGCAGAGCTGACTTCTGAACCCACTCTGACTCAAAAGCCTAACTATTTCTGAAGACATCCCAAATCCAACTGCTCGGACCTCAGAACAAGTACCCGTAAGGCATGAAGCTATAGGAACACTCCGGGGCCAGCTTTCACTGACACAAAATAACACTCGCCTTTTATATCATAAAAATCACATACGCCTGTTAAAAATAAAAAAGGGGGGGCGTCTGGGTGGCTCAGTTGTTGAGTGTCTGCCTTTGGCTCAGGTCATGGTCCCAGGGTCCTGGGATCGAGCCCTGCATTGGGCTCCCTGCTCGGTGGGGGGGGGGGGAGGGGGGGGGGGGCCGGCTTCCCCCTCTCCTACTCCCCCTGCTTGTGATCCCTCTCTCACTGTCTCTGTCAAATAAATAAATAAAATCTAAAAAAAAAAAAAAGAAAAAGAAAAAAAGGGATGGACAAAAGAGTTCAAAGAAGGAAATTAGAGTTACCCTCATCCCTCTGTTTGGAGATAATGTTTTGATGTCTCCTTCCATAACCCTTCACCCCGATCCCTACTTTAAAAAATATAGTTAAAACAATTCTTAATATTTCTTTCTGATTTTCTCATTATTACAACATACAAATGCTCCATTTCATTAAAAACTTTATAAAGACCATTACTAATTGCCACAAAATGTTCCATTTCACGGAAACAAAACACAACCAACCCCCTCCTGTTGGCTGTTATTTCCAGTTTTTCAGAAATTTTTATATATAATATTGTCGCGAAACTTGTAGGCATAAAGCCTTGTGCTTTAGGATGGATTCCTAGAAGTGGAATTTACTTTCCACTTCTTAAAAAGTGTCCCTCTCAAATTCGACTTTGAGGGAGATATCTTTACTTCCAATTATTTTAAAGTCATTTTATCCACAGCTTGTGTTTCCTACTCTAAGTGAAGAAAAATCAGCAAAGACACGAGCAGATGTCAAAATAGTCCTCCAAAAACCCTACCCAATTAAAACACTTACTAGTACCGCAGCACACCGAGACAGCTCTCCGGTAGCTTGTCCCACCAACACATTCCCTCTCTTTTTAGTTACAACATATGCCAAAGCTCCTGCCAGCTGCAAACCCTCCCCCCACCAGACTCCACAGGCTTTTTCTCAGAATGAAAAAAAAAAAAAATACTGACATGCACACCGACTTTCCAAATGGCATTTCTTGCACAGAGAAACACACAAAAATGGCATCTTCCCATAAATATTGTTAATCAGAAATGTCTTTCTCTTCATGCTTTGTCACAGACAGACTTAGCCTGACCCCAGCCTTTCAGGACAGGGAAGGAAACATGGTCATTTGGGAGGTGGTCAGTGCAGCTGAGAGGTTACGGGCTCTAATACAGGCTTCACCCAGGGATCACACCTCTACCTTGAGG